ATGTCATGCGATGTCCTCGCCATTGTTATCGTTGCCTGCTAGCGTTTACACGTGCGAACTGATCACACCTCGCCGAGGTGGCTCGGTTACTGGTATAGTGACAATATCGACGCTTTGCTGGGGTAGGGGGGGGGGGGGAATCGTCACATTCAACTAGCATCCCCAAAGGGGGAGCTTTAGGTTATATTTGTGACTAGGTTATATGCACCATGTTACATGGCTTAACATAGCGTGCACGCCACCTAGAGCCCTGCAGTGTTGACGCGAACTAAGGAGACAGACTCAAATACTGTCCCGACCGGAGGGTCAATGGCGACCCTGTTGCCTATGTGACCATACGGATGCTGGTATTTTCAAGTGTATCTGTACTCAGCATGTTGGTTATTCAACCCCACTGTGGGCCTTAGTAAACAGTAAAAAAAAAGTAAAGGACCCTTTTCCACGCTTTCGCGTGTAGTAGGCATATGGGGCTAGACCTAAATTTTATAGACCAATCAACACTTTATAGGTGATGTGCTCAGCATCACAAGGTCCGCCTTTACTTCCCATGACTTTACCTGGTACCCATTTAGGACTGGGTCGACCTGGGAGCTAATGTCGCTTTAAAAGTAGTCTGGCTACGTCAAAGCCCGACCCACAACCTTTCCTTCCGCCCTCGAGCGTCTAGCCGCTCCACCACAGCGGCTCCACTTCAAGATTAGTGAGTGCGTTTAACAATGTCATGATCCTCATGGCTTTGACAGCGTGTCGGACAGTGGTGCGAGAGTCACGCCGCAGAAGAGACGAGAGCATGAGCTTGTTATACTTCCAAAGGCAGCAGTGAGTATATTGAAGCCAAGGTTCTTTGCGGAGACGGCAAATAATTCTTCTTGTCGTTCACAGGCTGTAAACTCCGGCGGAGATTTCTGGTTGTTTGTCCACCTCTGGACTTTAGTCTTGTTCCAGAACCTGAGTGTTGCCCGCACATCCGTTTTACATATCAGACTTATTTGTATGCAGAGTGTTTTTCCTTGCCTCAGATGCACTCCGACTTTGAAGGAACCCCCCCCCCCCCCCCCCCCAATTAGACACTGGGGGGGGGGGGGCAGTTGATCTTTTCTTGTTGTCCCCATAATGAGTCATGGAAGACCCGGGGGAAGTACATAATTAAACTCAATACCCTCATATCCGAAAAATGTATTCCGGTGCAAAAGAATCACGAATACGGTAACCATAGTCCTGTTTTCACAGAGACAGTCCTGTTTTTTCGGTGCATCCTGGCTGTCATGTCGGTACTAAAAAAAAAAAAAATTGTCGTGTTTTATAAAAATCTGGGAATATGTTTATAAAATATATTTGTTCCTTGATAATTAATAATAATAGTAATAATAATAAAAATAATAAACTTCAGAATATTTTTTTGGGGTGGGTGGGTGGGAGTGTGTTGAAGATAAATTGATTTGCTTGCGATGTCCCGTTTTCAGCTCAAAGTATTTGAAAGATTTCCGTTGTCAGTTAAAGATATTATGGTGACACTAATCATTGAGGGCCATAATCGCAAATAGTCCACCCATGTCTCCAATGGCATTAAGGCCGACGCCTACACGTCGGTCGCAAACACATTGTAAACGTATTAATTACACAGTATTTAACAACCACATCAACTCATCTGAGGCTTCCAGCGATGGAACGGGTTGCTAGTCTGTGTTTGAACTGGTCAATTATGTGATTTAAGCGATGAGAACATATACAATACATGATCTCCTGGTCTTTAAATAACCAGGAAAATAAGCTCGGCCATACCGGAAGTGAGGGGAAAAAAACTCACACAGAGGACATAGACATAGCTGTGATAAAAGTGACGCTTTAGGGTGTTAGAAGTGCATGCCACAGAAGGAGAACATGCTGAATGACTTCACTGGTTGGCAAGAAAGACATCCATCAGTCGAACTTATCAAGAAATAAAGCATTAACAATGAGCTACATTTCTTGTGGGAGACTGTTAGTGTTGGCATATCTAACGGCTGTTTTATGTACTTACTTTGCGAGTACGAGCTTCAAGAATTTGCTGATACTGATATATGTTTCACTGGTGTTTCAAATGGGGTAGTAAAGGTCATGTCGTTTGGTCTCTACCGGCACATGAACGGAGTTATGAGTTAGATTATCTTCACAACACTCCAGACACATCCATAGGCGCTCAGATTCCCCTCTCAACATATGCATCAGCGTCGCGCGGCGGTTAATAGTGCCAGTCCTATAATGGTTAGCAAGACTTCGTGTGCGTCCGGTATGCCTCGCATGCTTGGCTGTGCCGACCTTAACTCCCTATTCTCGTATTCTTAGCAGTGATGTGGACACGTTGCTTTCAAAATTCTCAGAACGTCCTATCTCTCAAAGGTCATTGACAATGTCTATGTGATCCATGGGCCGGCCATCTTCAATTATTTAAACACCTCTCAGTCTATCAGCTCTTTCATTACCAACAACGCCTGTATGACCTGTGACGAATATGAAGGTAACTGCACACAGAATAGAGTTCTGAACACAGAAGATTCGGGGAAAGTCGTCAGCACTAAAGCTGGAACCTCTACTAACGGCTAATTTATCCAGAAAGAACATAAATGACATCAATCTGTCAAACGAACAAGATCTCCTGCGTCGCTCATCACAGCGCACGATGTAAGAGTTAAATCCCTTCGGAGTCGCCTGCTATTTATGACTCCCACCGAACAGTTCAGTTTTGATAAACTATTGACGTCTGCAAAAACGATAGGTCGTTTATTTTTGGGGATTTCGATGCCCGGTGGCGTTACTAAGGTCACTGGCAGGGTCCGGGTCTCCTGAGACGACCCCTGGTTTTGCTGGGAGCTGTATGACATTGTTAGTTAGCCCCTCTGGTTGTCTTGACAACGCGGAAGTGTGTGGTGCAAATTACCACTACTGTAGTGAAGGGAAACCACAAGTAAACCACGCTGAATTACTTCAGTCTGTTTTAAGTCTGAACACAGTTTAGTTGTCGAGTAGTTCTTTTATATGATATTTTGTTTAATGTTTAGTATTTCATACAGTTAATTAAATCAGGACGGACGCACTTAATATCAGATAGCAATAATTTACCTGAATAATGTATTACTTCTCATTTTAATGACGCACTTGTAAATGAGGCTAGTCGTGGAAAAAATATCGATAGGTGATATATTATAACTATTTATTAGGCGAAGTAGTAGTAGTAGTAGTAGTAGTAGTAGTAGTAGTAGTAGTAGTAGTAGTAGTAGTAGTAGTAGTAGTAGTAGTAGTAGTAGTAGTAGTAGTAGTAGTAGTAGTACTAGCAGCAGAATTAATAATAGTAGCAGTAGTAGTTGTTGCAGTAGCAGCCGCAGCAGAAGTAGTATCAGCAACAGTATTAGTAGCAACAACAACCGTAGTAGTAGTAGTAGTAGCAGCAGTAGTAGTAATAGTTGCAGAAACAGTAGTAACAGCAGCAGTTTTAGTCGTAGTAGCAGCAGTAGTAGTAGTAATATTGGTGGTAGGGTTACCCGTCGTTGTGAATGGAGACGAGTTAGTATTAGTATTGGTGGTGGTAACCGTCTTTGTGGTGGCGGTCTTAGCAGTAGCAGTAGTAGTAGAAGTAGTAGTAGTAGTAGTAATAGTAGTAGTAGCAGCAGCAACAACAACAGTAGTAGTAGTAGTAGTAGTAGTAGTAGTAGTAGTGGTAGTAGTAGTAGTAGTAGTAATAGTAGTAGTAGCAGCAGCAACAACAGTAGTAGTAGTAGTAGTAGTAGTAGTAGTAGTAGTAGTAGTAGTAGTAGTAGTAGTAGTAGTAGTAGTAGTAGTAGTAGTAGTCAGCAGCGAACAAGAGAAGGAGCAGCAGCAGAAGTAGAAGAGAAACAACAAAATAATAACCAGAATAATGTCAAAACTAGGACAAAAACAACGACAACATATTAATAACACGAACCGAACACACACACAAAGAATATGCATATGTAACCACAGTAAGAGCAATAGCGATAACAAGAAGAAGATTAGCAAATGGAAACGATAAAACATCATTAGGGGTAAAAACAAGGGGACAAAACAGCACTAAATTATAAACAAGCTGAAAAGAGGCGTAAAACTGCCGCCTATCGCTACAAAACCATGCGGATTATATTTAGAGCAGCGTTTTAATTTACCTCGCCACTCTGGCATTGGACGCAAGCCATCGCATATTTTACCTCCCCTATAGGCTTAAACTCCATCATATTTCACCCACTGAAATGTGTCCAGTATTGATGAATAAAAAATCGATTTTTGAAAGTATCCGAAAGCTCAGAAGGGTTATTTAGCATCCAACGCTTTGGTATATGCTGAAGGAAACGGGTCATTTACCGACGTATCCCGATTATAGTGACGTCACCTGTCTTATTCAGTAAAATTACTGAACACAATTTATTGTAGGGGCACAGGTCAAGACCAAAAAAAAAAAAAAAAAAAATTGGGCATCCAGATTAAGGAGACAGTCATCATTTTTCGGCCATGTTATGAGAAGAGGGAAAATAAAACACTGAAAAGATCTGTGGAAGGAGGGATAGAGGAAGACAACGAGAGAAGATTCTTGACAGTCTTGTCGCATAGCATGGAGGTGTGTCGGCACACAAACTGATACATGCTGCAGGAGATCGTGGATTATGGAGAGGCATGGTCGCCCACGCCAGACGGCAAGGCAGCTGATGATGATGATCCAGATTAAACTAAGTACCAGGAAATGCCCTGGAAGCAAAGGTGGCCAGGAAAAGAACTAACCAGAACACACCAGGTAGTGCTGACAGGTCTAACAATATGTGGCTTGTATTTCGAGCATCGCGTCAGCTATCCGCCATGGCAAACGATAGGACAAATGACTCAGGTAAACTGATCAGTTGACGCATAGAGGTCAGCAGATCTAAGAAAACACTAAAGTACTAAACGGTTTACGCCTCATTCCAGATTGTTCATTTATTTAGTGCTGTTTTGTCACCTTGTTTTTACCCCTAATAATGTTTTATCCTTTCCTTTTGCTAATCTTCTTCTTGTTATCGCTATTGCTCTTACTGTGATTACATATGCATATTCTTTCTGTGTGTGTTTGGTTTGTGTTATTAATAATTTTGTCGTTGTTGTCCTAGATGTTGCCGTTGTTGTAGTTGTTAGTTTGTTGTTTCTCTTTTATTTTTGTTGCTGCTCCTTCTCTCGTATGCTACTACTACTAACAACCCCCCCCCCCCCACCCCCTTTTTTTGTCTGCACGTAATCAGTGGGAATGTATAGAAATGTGTCCTCTCCTAACCTTCCTGCTCTCTTTAAAAGGGTGTAGAAACAGTTGTTTGTGGATATGTTATTGATGTATCCGTTGGCTCTCCAGACAGTTGGTGGGAGCTCTCCCAGGAAAAATAACTCCTATTGACATTGTACGCAAGTGTTTGGGCCATTTCATCTTGGCGCTGGGTTTTTCAAGTTCGTCAATAAACTTCGTTGCAAATGAGGATGGTGAAACGATTTGTTGAAGTTTTAGGTTTAGATAGAAGGCAGTGTGTTACATGCCGGATCTCTTTCATTACAGTCTGATTTTGTGTGTGTGTGTGTGTGTGTATGTGTGTGTGTTTGTAAAACTAGATTACAGCGTTGAGGTAATTTTTAATCATCCTTTCAAAACAAGAAGAAGAAGTAGAAGATGTTGAAGAAGAAAAAGAAAAAGTAGTAGAAGAAGAAGAAGAAGAAGAAGAAGAAGAAGAAGAAGAAGAAGAAGAAGAAGAAGAAGAAGAAGAAGAAGAAGAAGAAGAAGAAGAAGAAGAAGAAGAAGAAGAAGCAGAAGAAGAAGAAGAGATGAAGAGATGAAGGAGGAGGAACATGATAGAAGAACAGGAACAGCAAGAAGATGCACAAAAGGAAACATTTCTGTATCAAATAAATTCCCTCAGATACAAGCCCTCTCATGTCTCCTCTACCTCTGTAGTAATCATCATCCTCTTCTTCTCCATTCCTTATCTTATTTTATTCTTCCTTTTCCTCCGGCTTTATTATCAACATTATCTTTCATCTCTTCCTCCTCCTGTTATCATCATCGTTTTATTCATCATCATCATTGATTTTGGCATTGGCTGGCAGCAGGTCAAAGAGGGAAGTTCCGACAGGTGGACAGACAGGTGGACAGACAGGTGGACAGACAGGTGGACAGACAAGTGGACAGACAGGTAACTGTTCTTCTTTTCCGGCAACTTTTGCAAAATACATTGTTGCGGACTTACTTTATTAAACAATTTAGGGCAAGAGAAAAAGAACGAGAGAGAGACAAACAGAAAGAGAGAGAGAGAGAGAGAGAGAGAGAGAGAGAGAGAGAGGAGGAGAGAGAGAGAGAGAGAGAGAGAGAGAGAGAGGACGAGGAGGGAGAGAGAGAGCATGGGTAACACGTTTTCTACACTACTACCCAGCGGGGCATGATCATTTAGCATGTGCATGCGATATCACTGGAGAGTATATCTGGGATATTTTCCTCCTTGTCGCTTCGCTGTTGAGAGCATGCATGTGCAGCTAGCATCGTAGTAAAAGTAACCGGCAGCTTTCACACACTATCCGCGAGAGCGGCGTAAGCATACAGCGAGCCTTTTTTTCGCTATGTCCGAGATGTAAATCGAGGGCCGTAATTGTAACGGAAAGCAAACACTAATAATAAAGAGCAACAACAACAAAAAAATGCATTTTTCTTTGGCAATGGAAACTGTAAGCGCCGATTACGGTTGTAAGATGTACGCTCTTCCCCTGATGCCTAGGCTTTGTGCTGTGGAGAGGAGAAATTTTATCCCAAGCCTTAACTGGATAGGGACAAGAGAAGAACTGTTTTGCAGACAGGCTAAGAGCAGAACATTTGAGAAGAAGCCAGTAAAAGACATACGTGGGCAACAATGGTCCGGACATCTCATGCTAAAACTATAGAAGTCTTCTTCAAGCGGGCAGGTTCTGCTCGTCATACTCGTCATCACCATGGGATGTGATTCCCATGCTTCCTATGGCACTGAATAAAGCTATGGTCTGCAACCATGATCCTTCTCAATACCCGTAAAGCAGGACTGGTGGCCCGTGGAGGCTTAGTATGTGGTCCGTTGATAATATCTAATTGTATTGAGTTAATGATCTTTCTACGCTGGATCCCTAGCCTCTGGCCAGTGATTATCCTCAGGTTTACCATTTCGGCCCCTAAATAAACTTAACTGAATAGCCCTGGAGGTAAAACATCGTATATTAGACCTTTCACTGGTCTACTTTGATAATCGCTCGCCTTCCGATCAGAAGGTCGTGAGTCCGAATTTGAACGGAGCCAATTCTCCCCCCCCCCCCCAGAAATAAACGGATCCCAGCTTGACCTATCCTTAAATTGGTACCAGGGAAGTAAATGCGCGCCGGCGTGATATTGACACAAACCGAGTACCGACTGGTCTAAAAAATATAAGTCTAACCTTGGATACGAAATACACCTGAAGGAGTGGAAAAGTTCGTTTTCTTTTTGGTCTTTGTATTAACTTTGATGTTCTCTAAAGAAGATTGTAGCGACCCGACATCACACTTATTATCTATGTCATTGATTTGTGCCAATAAAAGCGTCGTTTTTCATCACTCAGCATCCCACATATCAAACAAATAACAAACAATAAACAGAACGATCCACACTACAGCATAGAACAGCATAAAGAGACTGAAAGACGAGAAAAGTAAATCTCTGTTAACGTGATGGGAAATAACCAGTGGTTACAGCCGAGGGGAGACAATCTAAAACTAAGACCGGATAACAAGAAAATTTGGTGATATGATTAATCTATCACAGTGTTCTTTATCTTGTATCTTCGGCTTGTGGCTCATGGACTATTGCTATAATGTGCTACCATTATATATTATTGTTACAATCCGACGTGGCATTGATATGGTCAAACTACCTCAGCTTCCCAGAGAAATAGCTGTTTACTAGCCTATAAATGTATATATTTTATATGTAATCCTGTCATCCCTTTGTAGAATGCAATTTTTCGTTATTTAAAGCCTTACTCTGGCTCTTGCCACGGGCCGCAATATAGCCCGGCCATAAATATGATCTAATGGCTGAACGCGGTTTCTGGGACCTCTCCATGGGTGATCCTCATCCACATGGTGGCACTTTGTGTGATTATCGCTTGTTATGTCCTGGTGGGGTAAAATAAGATAGATAGATAGATGCATATAAATAGTGGCGTCTGTGGCTTAGGCGTTGCGAACACGCTTAGTAATGCCGAGGTATCATTCATGAGTAGTAGTTGTAAGTAGTAGAAGTAGTAGTAGCAGCAGTAGATAGATGGATAAGTAGATACATAGCATAGCATTAGTCGAAGTAGCTAGCAGAGCGGACCTAGCATGATAGATAGTAGCTAATAGTCGACAGTAGGTAGCTCACGCAGCATCCACAGATAGCTAGATAGTATCGCAGCATAGAATAGCATCAGCTAGTGATAGCAGTATATAGTAGTAATATCAGCAGATAGATAGATATATAGCAGTTCCAGCAGTGCTATAGTAGATAGAAGCTAGCTTAGATGATATAGATAGATAGCGCAGTTAGATAGCTAGTAGATTAGTAGTAATAGCAGCTAGTATGAAGTAGCACGCAGCAGTTCCAGCAGTAGCTAGTAGTAATAGCAGCTAGTAGAAGTTGAGCTAGCTAGCAGTTCGATCGCTCGTATAGTAGTAATAGCCAGCAGTAGAAGTAGCCAGACAGCGTATAGTTCAAGCAGTATAGATAGTAATAGCAGCACGCAGTTAGAATCGTAGGCAGCAGATCAGTTTTCAGCAGTAGATATTAGTAGATAATAGCAGCAAGTAGAATAGTAGCAGCAGCAGTTTTTCCGCATAGATAGTAGATAGATAGATAGCTAGTATAGATACAGCAGCAGTAGATAGATAGTTAGCAGATAGTAGATTATCAGCAGTAGATAGTAGCAGCACAAATTTGGCGCTGTGGCTTATAGTAATAGCAGCAGTAGAAGTAGCAGCAGCACAGTTCAGCAGTATTATAGATAGAGAGTTAGTAAGTAGCAGCAGCAGTAGTAGTTGTAAAAGTAGTAGCAGCGGCAGCAGCATTAGTAAAAGTAGTAGCAGCAGCAGTTCTAGCAGTATTAGTAGTAATAGCAGCAGTAGAAGTAGCAGCAGCAGTTCCAGCAGTATTAGTAGTAATAGCAGCAGTAGAAGTAGCAGCAGCAGTTCCAGCAGTATTAGTAGTAATAGCAGCAGTAGAAGTAGCAGCAGCAGTTCCAGCAGTATTAGTAGTAATAGCAGCAGTAGAAGTAGCAGCAGCAGTTTCAGCAGTATTAGTAGTAATAGCAGCAGTATAAGGTAGCGCGTTCCAGCAAGTATTAGTAGTAATAGCACTCAGTAGAATATCAGCAGCAGTTCCAGCGTATTAGTAGTAATAGCAGCAGTAAAGTAGCCCCAGCAGTTCCCAGTATTATTAAAATTTTAGCAGCAGAAAAAGTAGCGGGCACCCGCCCACAGTATTAGTAGAAAGCAGCAGTAGAAAGTNATAGAACCGTCACAATCCTACACTGAATGTGTGTGTGTTATTTTCAGTCAGAGCAAGCAATAAAAAGCTATTACAACGCTGAAGAGAACATAGGTGAGTTATTCATGTTACCGTTATACTTTTTTCGTATGTAATACATAACAACTGACAGTTATTTGCACGGCTGTAGCCTGTGTAACGTATAAATGGCACACCAGGATGATGATGATGACGATGATATAAGTAAATGCAGCCTATAAAGGCCAAGATATTGACTATTAGATCCACTCAGCCTAAAATAAGTACCAAATAGATGCCCTCCTACGTAAAGGCGGCTGGCGTGATTTTGAAAACGTCACTCAGCGAGTGTTTATTGGTCTATAAAACATAAGTCTAGCATCATTTGCCCAAAAGGTCACTGGGTAAAAAAGGGTCATATAACTTTTTACTTACAGCCTTTAGTTTGGAGACAGAACACATTTATTACCATCGTGTTCCCCCCCCCCTCTCTATCAACATTGATCTAACTGTGTCTATCAACTGTTTCAGGTGTTAACATATTTCTCACCGAAGGAGATATTCTAGTCAACAGGGTAAGTTTCTGTAGTTATATATTCTTGTATGGAGCGTTGATAAAGATTTGTTGTCAAAATATTTTTTGTTGACTGCGTCCGTTTCATTTCGCCAACTGTCCTTGTTTTATTATGTGCATATTGGGCGGTTTGTAGATTGTTTCAGCTCTACTTTAGTTATCCCAGATTTGTTAACACAAGCAGATGTTTACATTTATCTATTGCAGACGGGTGAATATACATAAATACACGTTTTTTTAATAAGAAGGTGGCGTGCTAGCGTAAAAGTTGCAAACCAAAACGAACTACTTACTAGCAAACTCCCGGAGGTTCCTATTGTCATGGTGTCTGATCTATGGCTCTAGCGTAATTAGGTTAACAAGGACAAGGTTTGTGCAAACCGACAGCCACTGATAGGGTGCTGAAAGGTCTCGAGACATGGTGTTCGCCATGAGTGATAGAGGTTCCGTGTTCAATTCTCGGTAAGGGCTGGGATGTTTTCACGTGGACTTTGACTTCTAGTAACTCCCCTTGGTCTCTGGGTAGTGGGATCGGACGCCAGTGTGCATTGTAGCGTACGTAAAAAATCCCTTGACAGTTGGAAAGCGAAAAGAGTAGCCTAACGGCGCTGCCCGTGCAAAAATTTGGAGTTAAAAATCTACCCAAAGCCTGAACCCAGGACCTCTAGCACTCGAGGGGAGCGCTATACTTCGAGACCACTCAGCCTCCAGGTGGAGAAGGTAACAATAGTTATAAGAGAAAGACAATGACGCTATACTGGACACATTCTAATAAGAAACTAGCACAGAATCACCAAAGCAGGCACTAAAATAGGACATTAAAATACAGAGGAAGCGAGTACATCATACACACACACACACACACACACACACAAACAAACAAAACCCTAAAACCAGCATTGATAAGAGAGGCCAAAGGTGCTGCAATGTATTCCATCCATGATATCAAGAGCATTGCTCAGGCTAGAACGGAATGGAGAAATAGACCGTGATCCCTATGTGACATATAATGACACAACAGGACAATGATGATGATATGTCTTTGTAGTCAATCCAGCACCATGAAAGGAGAAGAATACTTGACTGGGTCAGGATCTGAAGGAAGGTGTACGGGAGTTAAAGGCGACTATGAAGGGAACTAACCACCCCGTTTAATTCTGAAATTGGAATGAGTTCTCGCGTGGAGTTTGCAAGATGAATATCTCCAGGTACTAAATGTCATGACCGGTGTCATTGTTACCAGTGCTCTGTTGAGCGCTGAGGTCATCTTAACCGATGGCCTTCAATGATTGACCCGTTTCGAGGTATTGCAAAGTTGTCCCACCTGATCATTGTATCCCCTGAATGGCGTTCGAAATTGCGATTACTGGACGAATAGACAAGCATACTAGCCACATAGACACTGATAACCTGGGGGTTCAGTCACTTTGACCACCCCTCCCCCCCCCCTTCCTGACACCCCCTTCCCGCAAAAAATTGCTCTTGTTTCCAGATCAGCAAAGAATAAAGCCGTTACTTCCTGAGAGGCAAAGATGGCGAGGATGACGGTACTCACAGTACCCATACACTGTTGATTGACGCTCACAAATAAAGGCCCTGTGTCAAATATCTATGCGTTAATGGCGGGAAAAGGCCCTATCTGTTTACCTGTAACATATTCAAGGTCACAACATGTGATGTGAGGTAGTCAGTTTTTTTTTTTTCTTTATCTCCCTTCCTTTCATTGTCACTTCATCTTAAACCCTGCAATTTAACTGTTAAGGGGAGGATAGTGATAGCAAGACAATGACTGAACAGCATTAACAGCAAGCAAATCAAAGTATGAATTTTGCGAATATGCATCTTTCCTGTAGTAAAATACGAAAGTCAGTTGGGGACTATCTCGCAATCATTAAGAAAGAATGTATGGGCTTTTAAACAGAAATATCTAAAGAAAGATTTTTAGATTTGCATGGAAGAAGAATAACGGAAATATTAACACCCTTAACGATGTGAATATCTGAAACAATTCGACCATATCAAGCGCGGCTGTGGACTGTAAGGAACAGTTGCTGAGGACTTTTTACTGGGTAAGAATGTCAGGGGACAGACAGAACGAACAAGGGCACAGGTCATTAAAGACAACTTGTACAGGAAAGTACAGGCGGCTGGCGAACCGTGAGGGACCACGTTTCTTATACGATTGCTGTCATGGGAACGACGGTCAACAAAGGGCGTGTTAAATGATGATGACGAAGCTAATATTATAAATTTATTCATAAAAACATGTCAGTGAATTTAGATCTTTTGTCAGCTTGTATCTACAATCCATAAATTAAGTAATATATTTTAAATGATTGATACTTGACCAGAAAGACGTTTCAATATCATACCACCAGATATATTGTTTGTCCACTAATATCTACAATCCATAAACTGGGTAATAATTGTCACTGATTGATACTTGATAAGGAAGACGTTTCAATATCATACCACCAGATATATTGTTTGTCCAATTATATCTACAGTCCATAAACTGGGTAATAATTGTCAATGATTGATACTTGATCAGGAAGACGTTTCAATATAATACCACCAGATATATTGTTTGTCCACTTATATCTACAGTCCATAAACTGGGTTTTAATTGTCAATGATTGATATTGATCAGGAAGACGTTTCAATATCATACCACCAGACATATAAACAGGACGAACGCGTGCGGTCAAGGTTGAAATCTGACCTTTCTGTTTCTCGACAGGTGTTTGTAGCGTAAGATTTTGTTGTTGCTCGATTCCCAAGTCCTAGCCGACCTCCTTTATTCCGCAGGCAACAGTCTTGCTAATAATTATATTATCAAACCCCTGGTTATGAATCACTCATCTGTACTTTCCCTGTTTGCCATGATCTCTAGTTGCATCAACACTTATTCTAAAACTTTACTCCTCCCCCTACCTACCCTACCCCTTCCCTCCCACTCCCCCCCCACCCCCCCCCCACACACACACAAAAAAGACAAAAAGTCACAGTTATCCGACTGCGCTTTTCAACTCAAAAAACATAGCAATAGAGAGGTACATAATTGTGTCAAAATTTTGACATTAAAACTCTTTGAAATTTCTGAAGTGAAATTGTTCAAATTTCACACAATTATACCTTAGGGTTCACCCACTCAGTTTGCCAGTTCTTTTGCATCTGGGTCATCGATAGTTTTTAGACATACGGGCTTTCCCGTCAACTGATAAAACGCTATCGGATAGATATGCGTTTATAAGCGTCATCGGATAACTGCATTTCTTCTTATTTTATTTTTAAGAGTATGGTATCATAGATATATTATTTGCATGAGTTTTCACTGCATGCAATTTTAAGGACATTATCTTTGTTCCCAGGATCAGCATGATCAGTATCCTTCTTATCCTTATATTCATTGTCGTCATCATCATTATACTCATCATCGAAGTCATTAAAAGCATCATCATCGTCACTAGCAACAATTTCATCATAATAATTATCCTCATGAGTAAAATCATTATTATAATCGTCGTAATTGCCAGTAAATTGTGTGTGATAATATTATAATTGTTATAACATTATCGTCCTTTTATAAATCATAATTGTTTTATTGATCAGCCCTATCATCATTACTATAATAGTAACTGTTATATTTACTATCTTCTTAAACATTATATAATCATCATCGTATAATCGTTATCGTCATTATACTCATTATTACCAGCATGATCACTATAATCATCATTACATGCATTTTTACCATAATAATTAATATCATCATTATAACCATCGCCATCATCATTATCATAATTATAATCATTATCATTACAAGCATTATTGCTACCAGCATCGCCCTATCATTAGGACAATAAATTAGCATAATGATTTTTATCAAAATTAACAACATCATCAAAACTATAGTTATCATCATTATCATTTCAAGCATTGTCATTATCTGTATCGTCAAATCATCATTACCATGACATCCTCCTCCTGATTCTTATACAAATTACCATCTTCATCATCATTATCATCATCACCATCATCATAGTTATCTTCATTTTCATTTCAAGCATCATCGTTCTCGGTACCGTCATATCATCATGACCATAACATCATCACCAATATTACACCACCACCATCATCATCATAGTTTTCATCATTATAATTACAATCATCATCATTATCAGTATCGTCATTTCATCATGACCACATCCTCACCATTCTGATGCCTATACAAATGAACATTATCATCATTATCACATAGTTATCATCATTATCATTACAAATATAATGAACATCATCATCGACATAGTAATCATTATCATTACAAGCATAATGAACATAATCATCAACATCATAGTTGTCATTCATATCATTACAAGCATTATCATTATCAGTATCGCCATATCATCATTACCACAACATCGTCATCATCCTGATTCTTATACAAATTATCATCATCATCGTTATCAACATAGTTATCATCATTATCATTACAAGCATAATGAACATCATCATCATTATCAACATAGTTATCATCATTATCATTAAAAGCATTATGAACATCATCATCATTATCAACATAGTTATCATCATTATCATTACAAGCATTATGAACATCATAATCATTATCAACACAGTTATTATTATCATTACAAGCATAATGAACCTCATCATCATTATCAACATAGTTATCAAGATTATCATTACAAGCATCGTCATAAATAAAATAAAATAAAAATTACCAACAATCAGATTGCTCTAGAACTCAGAGATATATATATTCGTTTCTTGTTACATGATTATGCAGAAATGATTGGTGGCCAACATGACTTTTCTGCGGCCCATGGGTTGAAAAACGCTGTACTAAAGAATGCCCTGAGTGCGCCTAATCGTTCTATTTTCAAGAAAACTTAAAGTCGAACTATTCACAGTAATACAATTACGAACTACAAAATGAACTTTGCGGCTGGCTAGCTTTAATCAGCATACGACCCAAATGGACAATGATACCATTCGAAAAGTGGAACGTCTAAATTGACAAGTAAAACCACAAACGTGCAACAAATTTTGGGGTTAATACGGTTATAATCAACAGTACATACACGCTCTTGGCTTTGCTGAAAGGCGTCTGTGGCGTAGGCGTTTTGAACGTGATTCACAGTTCTATGGTGCTGGAATCGATCCCAGCAGCGGATGATTTTTCTAGCGGGCCGTCTTTTGTTGTTTTTAACAGTGCTATTGAGAGCCCACCACTCAGCAGCAATGGCAAACTACCGAACGTAAATTGCCTGTTGAAATTGCATACAACCATGTAAAAAAAAAAATGCTGGGGTCGATTCTGCAACGTCCTTTAAAAGACACACAACGAACTTTACGGTGTGATTGTCGCATTTTTACACATTTTGATAAAAGTCGTCCTTAAGTGGGATGCAATTTTTTTGTTATTTGAAGCCTATCCCTGGCTTCTGCCGGGGGCCCTGAACATAGCTGGGCCATAAATATGGTTTAAGCCATAGCTATGGCTTAGGCTATAGATATGGCTTCAGCCATAGATTTGTCCTAAGGGCTGAAAGGCGTTTCTGGGACCTCTCCACAGGCGATCCTCATCCGCATGGTGGCACTTTGTGTCACCGGTTATTTATCGCTTGTGTGATGTCCTGGTGGAGTACAACTATCTACCTACCTACGGTGTTACCCGCTCCAGAGCCTCTGTCCATGCTTGAACTGAAGCAGGCTCTGCGCTCAGTTTATAATAATTCTCTTGCTTGCAAGTTTGTAATTGTTGCTACTATCAGACTTGTTCCAATGTTATACAGTGTTATGTTTACTTGAAACTTGTTTATTTCAGAAACGGAACGCGGACTCCCAGTACTTCAAGACCTGGTACAACAGATCTGTACCCTACCTCTTTGATGTCAGTGTCGGTAAGTGTTCCAGACAGGGCTTTTTTAATTCTGGCATTGCGCAACACTACACAGTACCGGCACCCTTTCAGGTAATCTTTTTTTTTCAGCCCTACTGTAATAGAGTCGGCGTCTGTGGCTTAGGCGTTGCGAACGCGCTTTGTGATGTCGGGGTGCCGGGTTCGATCTCAGCTGCGGGCCTTGCGCCTTGCGTTGGTTTCAACAGCTGTATCGAGAAGCCAACCGTCCAGAAGCAATGGCAAACTATTGGCTGTAAACTTGCCTAGAAAAACCGCAACAGCCAAAAGAAAATGCTGGGGTTGTTTCTGCAACGTCGTGTAAAGGATACACAACTATCTTAACTGTAATAGATACTTTGTGGTAAGTACCTGCACCATTTAAAAAAAAAAAAAAAACATTTTGTGGTGAGTGCCGACACCCTTGTTTTCTGGAGAGAGAAAAAGTCTTGGCCTGCGGCAACTTAGGTCGCGTATTTAAACAGTCTAGACTTGTAAGTCAAAAAAGTGTGGTCGATCATCCAGTTTCGTCCTTTTTAGGACGAAATTTTTTGTTATTTGAAGCCCCACCCTGGCTTTAGCAAGGGGCCGCAATATAGGCAGGCCATAGATATGGCCAATTGTCTGAACGCAGTTTCTGGGACCTCTTCACGGCGATCCTCATCCGCATGGTAGCACTTTGTGTCATCGGGTATTTATCGCTTGTGTGATGTCCTGGTGGGGTAGAAAGTCAGTCAGTCATTATGTCTAAAGATCGACTTAGGAACGATGATATCAGGAGGAAAGTCGGCATAGGACCAATACTAAACTTTATACGTAGACAACAAATTGAATGGTTTGGTCATGTAACAAGATTGGCAACAGACAGGGCACCACAAAGAGCAATGTTATACAAATGCAGCAGCAACAAAGATCGATCACGCAGAATATGAACCGCGGAAATATCAGAGACACTAAAAAGTACTTCATACAAAGCGAACAGAAGGGCCCGTTCCAGAAATCTATGAGCTGATGCTGCAAGGCATTTCAGAAGTAAAGGTCCCTTTTCCACGCCTTTAGGCGTATTGGGAATATAAGGCTAGACCTATATTGTTATAGACCGATCAGCCGCCTTTACTTTCCAGGACTGCACCTCGTACCTACTCAAGACTATGTCGACCTGGGAGTCAAGGTCATTTCTGAAAACATTTCTGGCTCTGTCAGGACGCGAACGCACGATGTTCCGATCCGCAGGCGGGCGTCTAGCCACCAACGCCCCGGCGGCTCCAGGAGTATAAAAAATGAATAAGAAGAAGAAGAAGAAGAAGAAGAACACTTGTAAGTACCGCATATAGAATATTCAATCAATCAATAAATTAATGAATCAGTCAGGTACCATTTCTCAGGGAAGGTTGGCTTCAGTGAATCTCCAACACTCTTCTCTCACCTTGGTAGCACACTGTCGCAGAACTAGTTATTCTGCCCCTTGACGTTTTCTTACCTCTTTGTATCGCTGTGTAAATGGTTAATTTTAAACTATTCTCCAATCTGTCAACAGGTGCTGACCTCCAGGTACTGATTGAGGCAGCTATGACGGGCATACAGAATTCCAGCTGCATTCAGTTCAAGAGACGAAACACTGAGAAGGATTACATTAGGTTTATCATGCCTAGCAGTGGGTAAATACAGATTTCTTTTTTGTCATCGTCAGCATTATCATTGACATCGTCGTCATAGTCATAGCAGACGTTGTTTCCGAGCATTACCATCAACATCGTTGTCATAGTAAAGCAGACGTTGTTCTCAAAACTAGTGTCACAACTCCTGTTCCACACGGATTGTCGGTTGCCTAAACATTATGACTAACGATATCACTGTATATTCAAGCTATCCACCATCACACACTTGTATCGCAGCCATGTGTTCATCTCAGCCAATATTATTAATATTACTATGCATAGTCATTGCAAGAATTACGAAGTAAGCACTAAAATGGAAAACAAGCGGTCTGAGAAAAATAAGACGTCCAACGGAAACATTGAGAAGAACGTTGTTACGAGAAGCTAAACAACGCTGGTCTGAACTCTGTGTCAGGAATCGAGAGTTGCTTGCAAGAGAACGGAGTGGAGGATTTGAATTCGAGCCCTACGTGATGTAAAAGGGCACGCTAAGGATAATGATGACATTAGTCACAGCCTCAAATGCCCAATACCCAACAGACGGGAAAAAGGACAAATACTTCATTTACTTATATCATTCATAAAGTAAAGTGAAGAACACCTTTCCACCCCTTCAGGGCTTTTCTTAATTGATTTTTAAATTATATATTGTCTTATTCCGGCAGTTCCCCGTGTGTGTCCGGCGCCCTGTTACATGGAAAACAAAAATAGACTAATTAAATACCCAAAAGCATGTCGCAAGAGTCGACTAAATGAGAGCTTCCTTCAAAGTCGGAGTGCTTCTGCCTGAGAGGCAGGGAACCAGCAGTGTGCACACAAATAAGTCAGATTTGCAAATGACGCAACACTTAGTTTCTGAAACATGACTGCAGTCCAGAAGTGAATGAACAACCAGAACTTTCCGCTAGAATTTACAGCTGGTGAACGCGAAGAAGAAGACTCTGGCAGTTTTCCTAAGACATCCCACTTTGCGTTTAAAACAGAAAGCATATTTTTAGCCCACTTCGTATGTTTAGGGAGCCTCAGTAGCTCAGTGGCTAAACACTTGCATGCCGACTGCAAGGTCTTGGGTTCGATTCATCCTAAAGGTAGATTTGTTTACAGTTAACCTAGAATTCTTAGGGGAACGCAGTCTAAAACAGATTGAGAAATTTCATGGGAAGTAAAGGCGGTCGGCGTGATGTTGACTACATCACACCTCAAGTATCCTTCATTCAAAAACGAACAAACCAACGAAATTTAATTGTAAAGGGCTACAAACTGGGTACGCAGGCCCGTCTTTCATTCAGCTCTTCCAAGTTTTCATCTTTCGGACCATAATTGATGGACCAATGAATGAACTAACAACGACAGTAAAATTTATACGAGAGAAAAAATCGCTAATATAGACAACATATTGCAGGCGAACGAAAGAAGAAGACTATAACTGCATTAATATCAATAATGCATGTTATGTCTATATAAAAAAAAGTAAAACAATATAATAGCACTTTATTCCAGATGGCATAAAAAGGACTTGTTATTTTTTATGTGTGTTACATAGTAAGTTAGGTACAGTGGTATGTCAACCTATGAACCGCTCTACGTAACAACTTTTCGAGATACAAACTTTTTTCATGCAATAAACCAAAACACGATTTCAGCCGCAATGAATCTGGGTTTTTCTGGAGGACAATCTCTAAGAGAGCGTTCTTCGGTACGAAGGAAATGACAATGCCAGGCACCAGCCGATGAAAGACAAACTAACTTTGCTCATTTGCTCCAATGCCAATGGTGATCTAAAGATAAAACCTCTGTTGGTTTCTCACTCTGAAAATCCTATACTCTTCAAACAACAGAAAGTTAACAAACCCGAACTTGACTTTATGTGGACAAGTAAAAGCAGAGCTTGTGAAACCAGGCAGTTCGCCTCAGAACGGATTAATTGATTTTCTGTAAGATTTGATTTCGGGATACGAATTTTTCGAGACACGAACCACAGTCAGGAACGAATTTAAATTCGTTAGCCGAGGTACATATTTATTCATAAACTAGATACATTAAACTTGTTAATTGTATCCTTATCTAACGTATTTAAGTTCGTTAGCCGAGGTACTATTGTATTCATAATCTAGATACAGTAAACTTGTTTATTATATCCTCAGCTAACGAATTTAAGTTCGTTAGCCGAGGTACTATTGTATTCATAATTAGATACAGTAAACTTGTTCAGTGAATTCTCAGTTAACAAATTTAAGTTCGTTAGCCGAGGTACTATTGTATTCATAATCTAGATACAATATACTTGTTCATTGCGTTCTCAGCTAACGAATTTAAGTTTGTTAGCCAAGGTAACATTGTATTCATAATCTAGATAAGTAAATTTGTTTATTGTATTCTCAGTTAACAAATTTAGGTTCGTTAGCCGAGGTACTATTGTATTCATAATCTAGATACAACAAACTTGTTCATTGCGTTTTCAGCTAACGAATTTAAGTTCGTTAGCTAAGGTACCATTGTATTCATAATCTAGATACAGTAAACTTGTTCATTGTATCCTCAGCTGTTACAGCCCTATAGGAAGGGTCGGCGGGCCACAAGATATCGGTTTAGGGGATGGATGTTTCGCCCATGGCACGATCCAGCACGAGATACTCCACGCCTTGGGTCTGTGGCATGAACAGAGCAGGTCCGATAGGGACGAGTACATCAAAGTTATGTGGGACAATATCCCTAGAGGTGAGACGCCTGCGAGTGAGTTGTTTACTTTTGCTGTGTGTTAAGTTAAAGCGTTGATAAGGGCAGTACTTCTCAGGGACGCCTCCGACACAAAGAAAACTGGGGTGAGGGTGGGTGCTCTAAGTCCCATTACAAATTGTTTAAGAAAAAAAAGGGGGAGGGAGCCTCGAGGAGGCCTGAGCCTTGCTTGTGTGTTTAATATTAATAGTAATAATAATGTACTGAACAGCAACAACAACAAATGAATATAATAATATATACTGTAGTTGAAATAATATGATGTGTATGAACCCAAACTCAAAAAGAAAACTTCTATAGCTTTGGGAGGGGGGCAAGGGTGGGAGGGGTAGGGGAATAGTACCTTTATACCATTCTTACTATTAAGGAGGGGGGTGTTGAGAACCCCCCCCCCCCCCACACCTACACCTTTCCCCAAATTCAATGTTTTGGAGGGAGAGGATAGTGGGGCTTGAGCTGTCAAGTTTCGACGCCACTGGGTCTGGGTCATATACATTAAGATCAACAATAACGACAGTGCAGGAGTAAATAGTCGATTTCTTTGTCTTGCAGTCTCTCTGTCTGCTGGCTCACCTCTTTTGGCCTGTCTGTCTGTCTATATGTTTGTTTGTCTGTCTGCATGTGTCTGTCTGTCTACATGTTTGTTTGTCTGTCTACATGTGTATCTGTCTGTCTACCTGTTTGTTTGTCTTTCTACATGTTTGTTTTTCTTTCTACATGTTTGTTTTTCTTTCTACATGTTTGTTTGTCTGTCTACATGTATATCTGTCTTTTTACACGTTTGTTTGTCTGTCTACATGTGTATCTGTCTATCTACATGTGTTTCTGTCTGCCGACATGTTTTTTGTCTGTCTACATCTGTGTCTGTCTGTTTACATGTTGATTTGTCTGTCTACATGTGTATCTGTCTGTCTACATGTGTATCTGTCTGTCTACATGTGTGTCTGTCTGTCTACATGTTTGTTTGTCCGTCTACATGTGTAGCTGTCTGTATACATGGAAAAGTGTCTTTTACTTTACAACCCACAAACACACCTTTATTTTTAATGACACTTCTTTCCTACTGATCACCGGCTTTTTATTCTTCTTCTGGTGCAGGGGCCTTCAATCAATTCACGCCAAGTCGCTGTATCCATCGATATCACATGCAGCTCTTCCCATGTCCTTCCCATCTTTGTAACTTTACCCTCTAGCTCCCTTCTCCATGTGTTTTTTGGTGTGCTAGGTGAAAAGTCCTTAAGAAAGAGATTAGGGGCTTTTGAGCTGAAATGCTTTAGAAAGATTCTCAGAATATCTTGAACAAAGAAGAGGAGAAATATTGACTTAATAAAGACCTGATCATCAAGAAAGATTGGCTAATAATAAACAGCTGAAATATTTTGGTCATATCAAGCGCCACAACGGATTGGGAAAAATTATAGCAGAAGGCATGGTAACAGGAAAGAGGGTCAGGGGCCGACCGACACGAAGTTGGGCGCAGGATATAAGTTACTCCTTGAGTACGAAAGTACTTGAGGCCGGAGAACTGGCGAGAGAAGAGTTTCTTTCAGGTAGACTGTGATGAAAGCGACGTTCTGCAAAGAACCTGCTACATCATGATGATGAGGTGAAAAGAGATAAACGTCGACAATCCGGACTCCCTTCTGCTTATTCCACACCATGTCATACTTTTTCTACTTGAAGAGCCTTCCCTCATCTTGGCTGGCTGAGTTATTCTTGTTTCCCTTTTTGATTTTCCATGGTTGGTTGGTTTTTGTGGCTTTTGTTTTTACAGGATGAGGTAGCCAACCTCAAGCCCAACCCTACTCTTAGTCGCCTCTTACAACATGCCTGGTAGGGTAACTATTTTGTGCTTCCCGTGAGGGCCCCGGTGACACACGAGCGACTCACCAAACTGTTCGGCTTGTTTTGAACATTTATGCTTTTCTACCTGTCTCCTCCTCCTCATTCTTTTCGTCTTCCTTGCCAGTTGTTTTCACACGAGAAGTCCACATACCTTAGTAATGGCCGTGAGACGACGCATGTCGTCCCTGTTTCATACAGCCTGGTTTCCGGCTAATTTCTTATTGGCCAGATCTGGATTTCTCTGTTGAATGTAAAGCACTTGCTTGCGGCATATGCTGAGTATTCTGGCTTGTCTGTCCACACGGACACAGTTCTGAGTCCAATCTTGAAATTCTTGTACGAATGGGTTACCTGTCTCCTATATGTATGACTCCAAGAAATTACTACAAAATTAGAGACAGTCTATAGTAAATTTGTCATGGAAATTATTGCTGAGAAAAGCAAGATTCTGGTAAATAGTCGCAATAACCAAGTACCAACCAACATACAGATAAAAGGGAAAAAAAAAAAACTAGAAGAAGTTGAAACCTTTAAATATATTGGCTCCAACATATGCAACGATGGCAACTGTACCAAAGAGACCATGACAAGACTTGATGTGGCAACAGCCGCGATGTTGCAGCTCAATACGATGTGGACGAGGAAAATCAGCATCGCAGTCGAAGTCAATATTCACAAATCACTGGTGTTGTCTATTTTCTTACACGGATGTGAGAGTTGGACTTTTACTGTGGAGATGGAAAGGAGGATTTAGGCTTTCGAATGTAAATGTCACAGACACATTTTACGAATTAGCTATTAAGAACACAAAACTAAAAAATATGACAGCGACAAAACATACAAATTTGCGGGAAATTAGGAGACTCTCTTGGCAGTGGTGAAACGTCGCAAGCTAGCTTGGTTTGGGCACGTGGTGAGAGGCAGAAAACAAGAAAGTTAAATCAACAGGAATAATATATATATATATATATTTATATATACACAAACACACACACACACACACACACACACACGCATATATATATATATATATATATATATATATATATATATATATATATATATATATATAGAGAGAGAGAGAGAGAGAGAGAAAGGCGAGAGACAGACACAGTCAGATATATAACATAACCCTTGACCCATCAGGGTCGTAAGGTGTATTGATGGAAGCACTAGCACATAAAACCCGCCATCTTTTACCGTCTTCTGCTTAGTGAATAAGTGTATGATAACTTAGTCCTATCCTTTTATTAATGCTTTTATTTCAGGTATTTTTTTTTTGTCCCCCTCTTCTTCGACTACCCCCCCCCCCCCCCCCCCAGTGTTCCTTGAAGTACAGTCTTTGCAGTCGAATCATGATTCCTGTTGATTTAACTTTCTTGTTTTCTGCCTCTTTCTCTCTCTATCTTTATTTATCTATTTGCAATTTGTGTGTATGTATGTGAAGGTAAAGAAAAATCGGGAAAGAAATGTGTTAGTGTGTTGTGAGTGTGTGTGTGTCTGTATATCAAGGTTCATAGATAACCTAGCGTGAAGTTTCCAAAGATTTTTAAAATTCTGACCTCGGAAAGGGCACGGTTTTAAATTCCGCTCTTACGCTGTTTACCATCAGCATTTGTCTGTACATTTCTCTGTTTGAAAAACCGATCTGTCGCACTGGTCGACATTCTCTGTTGTCTTATCTAACGTAACTGGTGTCATTTAAACATCAGCTCTTCGCAATCTGAACGACGCTTTGTGGTCGGCGTGGCCTTGATAGTTGGAATAGCTGAGAATGAATTTCTGTGTGACTTGTTCTGTAAACTCGTTTTGGGAAGCGAATCAACTTTGTTCGAAAGTGCATATATTTTGTAGACTCTTGTCTATCCTCTCGAGCTAAAGAGCTCTTTCTTTTGTGATGCTCTCGATGGCCCAACAGCAGCTCTGGGGACAACCAAGTTATATGGGATAAAATGGCTGTAATAAAGTTTTCTTTTCTTTTAACACCTCTTATAGTTACATATATGCTTGTGTGTGTGTGCGCGTGCGTGCCTGTGTGTTTGTATGTGTGAGAGAGATAAAGAGAGAAAATGAACGAAAGAATTAACAAAACTGTATTTTATGTAGTGCCGAAACAAAACCTTTCACAGATGGTTAACATCGGGCAACGTGTGGCCATGTCGCATTTAGTCATCGATCAGAGAGAGAGAGAGAGAGAGAGAGAGAGAGAGAGAGAGAGAGAGAGAGAGAGAGAGAGAGAGAGAGAGAGAGAGAGAGAGAGAGACAGAGAGAACGAACGAACTTGTTTTTCTAAACGATCACAAATTGGGCCCTCAGGCCCGTCTTGCATTCGGTCCTATCAAATACTCATCTTTCACACTATATCAAGCATATTATGTTCACACATCAGAATTAACACATGGTATGAATGTTAATTAACAATTTAAAAAAAGGTATGGCAACACAAGGCAGTAGAACATTCACAAACGCACATATTCACAAACACACTCACACACACGTAGGTGAACACGAGGAACATCACACGCCGAAACAATACAGGCACGCAGACACAAAAAATACACACAGACACACTACATGTTCACAGATACTAAACACACACACACACACACATTCAGCCCATACTCAGAGACACACCACGTACATACAGACAAGACACATACGCACAGACGTACGCACACATACATAATCACAAATACAACTCTCACACAAACACAACACAAACAGTCACGATCCACACAAAGGCACAACAATACACACAGACACAACACACAGACAGGCACGACACACAATCACAACATAAAAACGCAACGCAGACCTTTACACACATAGCACATATATACAGATATAAAACGTTCAACGACACAATAAAATATAAGACACAACACACATTGGTACACAGAATACGCACAGACACAAGCCACACACATTCACAGCACAGACACATCTCGTGCACAACAGACACACTCAAACACATAACACATATACAACCCACATAAAAACACATTGGCACTCACAGACACAAAAAATGCATACAAACACATCACACACACACACAGACACAAAACACAGCCACGTGTAGCCGAATGGCCACGGATTTTGATTTGACTGCACTTGCGGATAAATCTGGCACAGCTCAGGGATCAAAAGGTTTTGAAAGGTGTTTTCTGGCGCGATAGGGACCTCCTAGCTTCCGTTTTCCGACCACTCCTGTCGCCCAGGGACACAGATACACTTAAACACACAACTCACATTAAAATACATACACACTCACAGACACGACACATACATACAGACATATCACACACACAACCACATCACACACAGACACAACACACGCAAACACATATACAACACACAAGTATACAACACACAGACACATCACACCAAAAATTTCAAGTTCCGAAATTAGTCAATCTTCCTTGATGTTCAGAACTCTTAAAATGTAATATTCGTTTTTTTCCCTATATTATTGGTATTATGAGAATATATAGCATTTCAGCTCAAAAGCCCATAGTTTCGTTCTCAAGAACCTAGAGGGGTGCTTTATCAATACCCAAGAATACGCAAAGACACAACACACAGACATGACTCACAAACGCAACATACCCAAACACATAGGCGCGCACACACACATACACATAGACACTACACATACACACAAACATGACATATGCACATACAAACAACCCCCTACACTTAAAAAATAAACAGAATACGATACACAAACACAACATACACAAACGCAACCCACACAGCACACACAGACGCAACCCACACAGCACTCACACAGTGCACACGTACACAGAATACACGCTGACACAACACAGACACAACCAGTGGAAGCTGATCCCATAAATGAGCAGCAGCGTAAGGTTAACTTGTTTTATATAAATAAATCTTTCCTAACTTTGCATTTGTATTGAAATTAGTCGCCTACTTTTCGTATATATATATATATATATATATATATATATATATATATATATATATATATATATATATATATATATATATATATATATATATATATATATATATATATATATATATATATATATATATATATATATATATATAGCAAAGGGCCTTTTTCCACGTCTTCAAGAGTATTGGTTATTTATGGCTAAACCTATATTTTATAGATCAAACGGCACTTGGTGGGTGATGGCGTCAGCATTCTGCCGGCTGCCATTTCTTCCCAGGACTGTACCTGGTACCTACCTCTAGGCTGTGTCGACATGGGAACCAATGTCATTTTTGAAAAAAAGTCCGACCTCCGTCAGGAGGCCCGAACCCAGACCTTCCTATCCGCAGGCAATCGTCTAGCCGCTACACCACGGCCGCTCGTATATATACATATATATATATAGAGAGAGAGAGGGTCTGAGTGAGTAATTTTTTTCACTTATTGATATCTCGATAGCTTTTCTAATCAAAAACATATGCTGTCACTATCACTTTCATTTCACCAATAACAATCAATAATATTTTAATACATACACAAACAGAGCACTATAGTAACTTCGGAACTCGGAGTCTCTCGGAGAGTCACCAGATATTCCTAACCATGCCTTACGATTATGGTTCGCTGATGCATTATTCCAACAATACCTTCGCCATAGATCGCCATAAGCCGACTCTGGTGCCGAAACAAGACCTTCCCAGGGGCGTTGTCATGGGGCAGCGTGCAGGCATGTCGCAGGGAGATGTCGACAAGATCAACGCCTTGTATAGGTGTGGTAAGGCAGATTTTTGTTGTCTGTTGTTTGCTCTTCATTTTGTTTTAAACATTAGGTTTTACTCCAACAGATTTGCATCCCGTAGGATTAACATCTCAAGGATGAGAATAAAACAGTTACAACTACCAGAAACCCCGTTTAACCTTATAACCACGTAACGCAGTTATATTGGGGCACCATAAAACGGTTACGAAGTAACCTGTAGTCCATTAGGGTTGGGTTTTCAACAGAACGTTAGCTCATCCTGATAGAGCTGAGCGTGCCGTACGAGTCGCGAATCGAAGAGAACCACTGTATAAGCTCGAGAAATACATCGATTTAATGGCTAGTCTGAGGTGCGATGAAGGGTGTGCAGTAAAACTTTTCGCCGTCCAGATACAATGTACTGAAGCCTCTGGGCTTGCGAGGAAAGGAGCGTAAACGGGCACTAAAGCAACTGAGCGAAGCTGCTGAAAAGCTTATACAGCGAACACAACGGAACGACGTGGGAGAGAGGCCTCGGTAGACTGGCACCATCTATTAGTAGGAAAGAATTGTTAAATCCCTTAAGCTAAGGGTAGCCGATCTGCCCGTGTCAGGGCCAACTGCTAAAGTCTGTCCAATAAACGTATGTCCGATGAATCAGCCGTGCATTTATCACTCTTGATCTTGATGTTGGAAAAAAAAACTTCGTACTTCTTTCAACCTGCTCCTAGATTGAGCAGTGGTTACATCGAGGTCGGTGTTTTAGTGTCTGGAATTCGTTTTCCAGTTATTGACGTTTCTGTGCGGCGATCATATTACGCCCGAGGTTTGCTGCTGCTGTCAGGGTGAGGGAAGGGATCTCGGTCTGCCCTAAAAAGGGCGGACCATGGCCTGGGACGGCCTGAATTGGGTGAGGTGGGAGTGGCTTTGGCGGTGGACATCGTGTCGTCTGGTTGTGGGCTGTGAGGTTTCTCCGGGCTGGTGGGCGGGCTTAGTCAGCTGTCATGGCGGCCTGGGCGGTTTTTCATTGGTGACTGGTTTTCACTGTGTCTTCTTTAGTATTGGGAGTTCTTCCGTCTACCTCGCTTGCCTTGGGGTGTTTGCCAGTGGGCCTGCTCGTTTGTTGTGGGCGTTTTAAATCTCCAGTAGGTGTTTCCTGTTTCTTCGTCGATCTCCTATATCTTGTAAGGTTCTACTCGGGCCCATGCCTCTGCCAGTTGTGCTTGTATGACTTTGTCCGCTTCCATCTTTTTGTCCAGTTGGCGTCTTTCTTCTTGGGTGGCCTCGAGGAGCGTCCTCAGCGCTTTGAGGCTGTACTCCCCACTGTGGGCTTCTGTGTCCTGGTCTGTATCTTTGACGGGTTCAGTCAGCTGCGCCTGATCTTTTACTGCTTTTTCTTCAGTGATTGTGCCTTTATCCGCCTTCTGCGTTGATTTGTCTGTGTGGGTGCTTTTATCAGCCCTGCTGACACTTAGGTTCTTTGATGCTATGCTGACTGCCGTCTTTTCTTTCTGTAATAGGTCGCGCTCTGTTCTGGTAGCCATCTCAGCCGCGACTGCCTCTGCTTTAGCCTGCACAAGTCGGGTGACCTCTCTGTATGCTTCTTCTCTCGCCTCTTTCAGCACTGCCATCTCTCTGCTTCTCTCCTCTCTCTCCTCCTCCTGTCTGCGTCTTTCGTCTGCTGTCTGGGCCGCTGCCAAACTTGCAATTAAATTGCTGACGCTATCTTTGGTTGCTGTATGCTCTGGGTGTGCATGTAGAATTAGTAGCTATTGCTTTCACCTTAATACCTTGTCTGAATGTCCGATAAGCGCAGCAGGAAATATTCCGAGGCCTGTAAGTAATAACCCAGGTCCCAAAGTATGACGCAGTTTTGTTGTTTCAAAACCCCACCCTGGCTGTTGTCGGGGGCCGTAATGTAACCCAACCTGTCGGCTGAACATGGTTTGTGGGACTTGTTCCCAGGTGATCATCATTCTTATGTGGCACTGTATGTCATCGGGTGTTTGTAGCTCTGTGTGATGTCCTTGTGGGGTTGAACGTCACTCACACATGTGGTGGTTTTCTTCCGGCGGTATTATGCCCTGTCTTCTGCGGCTGCTATCATCATCATCATCCTTTATGTACCGTTAGACGTCACATAGGGTTGACAATCGATTCCAACACTCTGCTCTATTGCATGCAACTCTCTCGTTTTCTTAAATGGAGTTCTGTCCAGCGTTTTAAGCTTCTCGTAATAATATTTTACTTAATATTTCCATTGGACGTCCTCTTTTTCTCATACAGTTTGCTTGTTCTGTAATTCTTTGCTTGTTTCGACTCATAGTGTGCCCGATATATCCCCAGCTACTTTATCTTGTTGCAGCTTATACTAGTTTTTGTCCAGACATTTATCTGATCTCCTCGCCTTTAAAAAAATTAATTCCACTTTATGTTCATGATTTTTCTCAGACGTTTGTTCGTTACTGTCTTTCCATACCTTTGGTAGCTATCAACTTTCGTTGGCATTTGTTAGAATTGAAATAACGTTAGAACTGAAGATTCGTAGTTTAGTTTTAAAAGTGCAAAACTTAGAGCTGCATGTTTTTGTTAAGGATTTTAAAGACTGTTATTGCTTGTCAATGAAGTCATTATTTCTTTCGATGTCTTTTCGAAAGTGAAAGTTGCTACCCAAATAAGTGAAATAGTACGTTACTTGTATTAGTTTTTCTCTAGCATGACATCTACGTGAAATATTGTTTGTATCTTCAATATATTAGTTTTTCTCATAACCTACTGTAGTCATATATTTGATACTAAACAAGGACAAGTAGTGTGTTTTTCTTCGTGTTTGTTTTTTTTTTTAGTTTGCAGAACAATCCAGATCTCCCACTTGTCGATTTTCTACCCAGTCAAGGCCAGTATTGCCTTTGTCACATTTTTTTTCATTAGCCAAAGAAAGGCTACTCCAAACAACAAGGGAGATAAAATGCATCCTCGTTTTACTCCAGTTACCACCAAAAACCAGTCACTTATACCATTTTTATCGCGCATTGCACATTCGGAACCAACGTTTAAATTTCCATTAATGAATTTAATGCGTATTTTTTGGCTGCTTTGCCATTGTATTCTAAAATTCTCCATAGTGAAATTGTATGTAAGCTGTTAAAGGCCTTCATGAAATCAAATTCAGGATGAGATGTTGCTGCTTCTCAATGTGTTCTAGAATATATCTGAGGGTAATTATTTGTCCACACAACTTCTTCCAGTTCGAAAACCATTTCGTGCTTCTCTCATGATTGTATCAAATACCTCTGATTCTTTTAAAGATTTCATTGCAAAAGGTTTTTTCACATAACAAATAATAAGGTAATTCCTCTCCAGTTATTGCAGTCCTTAAAATTACCTTTTTAAAGGATTTTCACAGTTATTCCTTTCTCCACAATTATTCATTCTTTCCATTGTCGTTGGACTTCCGCTTCCCATATTTTGTTAAATAACTCAAGCTGAATAACTGTAGCACTTGTTGGATAGTTGTCACAGCTGCTCCTTTGAGCATTTCTAATGTAACATTATCATCAACCGCCGTGTTCTTATTTGCTATTGAATGTATAGCCTTTAAGATTTCCGTTTCATTAATCTGCCCATCGGGAGCCGCCATGTTGTAGCGGCTAGACGCTCACTTCCGGATTGGAAATCCTTTGCTCCGCTCCTGATAGAACCGGATTTTTTAAATCAGAAATGACCGTGACTCCCAGGTCGACCCTGCCTTGAGCGGATACCAGATATAGAATTGGGAAGTAAAGGTAGCCGTATTAGGTTGACTAAATCCCCCATATACACACGCAGAGACGTATCCCTGCAGCGTGGCACCCAAAAGTCCTGAGCATGTACTCTAACACTGTCAACTTTATGCTGACAAGAGAGACCCAATCTGGCCTGTTCCAACCACAATGAAGACAAAGCTGTATGGTACTCGAGAGGATATGGACTGCACGATAGCTTTCATAAAGGCTCTTGATACACAATTTCTGACCGAAGCTTCAAAGAAGAAAAACAAGAAGAAGATGATAATGATGAAGCAGAAGAAGAAGAAAAGAAGAAGGGGAAGAAGAAAAAGAATAAGAAGATATACATATGATCACACTGATGAGATGATTTATGAGTGCTATTGTGATAATTCCATTAAAACTATCACTAAGAACCCAGTTTGTCCTCATTTGACCCTACCTTTTAATTATGCTAAATATTTTGATAGTTGTCCAGTTGCCAAGAGAAAGTGTAATGCTGATCTGCATATTAACTTTCGAGTTTACTATCATATAAAAGAACAGGTCCACTTTCACTGCTTAAGCGCATCAGGCATACAATGCTAGAACTATGGATGTGTTAACGTCGTTGGGTGATGTGGTCACCATCAGGCCGACTGCCTTCACTTCCCATGACTTTAACGGGTACTAAAGCTGGACTGTGTCGACTTAAGTGCCAACCAGTGTTGCCACTTTTCTTTGACAAAAAAACATCCAAAACGGAGTCACAGAATATCTACAAACATCTAAATTATGAGTAGAAAACATCTAGAAAAAACATCCAAATGTAAAGAGTCACAAATTACACAGCAATTGATGCGACTTACCCTATAGAATCATGTCCTCATCTTTACTGAAGTCTGCCTTACAAGGTCCACGTGACAAACTTAGCTTGGATGATAAAGTTGAAGCTTCAGATCCAAAATAACTCTGGTATGCTTTAGCTGTTCCAATTTCTTTTAATACCCAATCAAGGAGCGATAAGTGGAACAACCTTTTCCTACTCTTATCAGGCCAAATTTTATTGTCAAGATAGCATTTAAGAAGTCAAATTTCATCCTGTTTCTTAGGTTATATTGGATACATTCACTCCAAATGAAAATCATCTAGAAAAACATCTACTATCTAAACGTCAAAAACGCCATCTAAATGCGAGGGAAAACATCTAAATCTCGATGTAAAACATCCAAAGTGGCAACACTGGTGCCAACGTCAGTTTAAAAAGAAACAAATCTGCCTTGAAGCGAAAGTGAACCCTAGACTTTCTGGCTGGCAGACGAGTGTCCAGCCGTTACACTACCTCGGTTTCATCATCATCCACTACCATGTTGCTTGTTTTGTTTTAGTATCCAGAAGCCATGAGTTGTTAACTCTATGGATATCGCAACCCTTCGGTCTTGATTCCATTTTAAATACCGTAAATCTGCGAGAAATGTGGCTTTTCTGTCTAGCTCCGGGAGTGAACCCGGACAACAAGGAGTTCGTCACCCGGTCACAGCGCAATCCGGTTTAGCCAACTACGCTAGAGATCCGGGCAAACTACCATGTTGATAAGCAAAGGTGATCATGGGTTGTGAAAAGCACGGATAGCCATGGTGTGTTGGCTAGACTCTAGCCTGTGGATCCGAAAAGTCGCGGATTCAGATCCTGACAGAGCCGAGACTTTTCTCATAAATGACCTTATCTTTCAGGTCGACCCAGCCTTAAATTAGTACTAGATAAAGTCTTAGGAAGTAAAGGCGGTCCGTGTGACTGATATTGATTGTTGATTGCTCTATAAAATATTGGTCTAGCTATACATGCACAATAAGTATAAGGGCGTGTAAAAGGGGTCCTTTACTTTACTTTACTTACACAAGCACGGATGAGGTCAATGTTCTTGTGCCACATAAGCCATGTGACCATGCTGTCTATGTACTTTTATCTTTGTCTTTCTCTTGTTATTTTCCATCTTGTCAAAAAATTGACGTGTTTTAGAGTTTATTTAGGTAATCACACTGTAGTGAAAACGGCCACTTTCACTAGCCCAGAATGGCCACTGTAATTCTTGAAAAAAAAAAAAGGAAAGGTACAACTAACTTGATCAAAGATGCCAGAATAAATAATTATTACACTTTCGGTCACAACAAATAAGCAAATACCCTTTTCACTTTACTGGCAAACTGAACGCTTTATGGGTTTAACTCATATTTGTATAGACAAATCTTAATAGGTAATGTATTGGTAAACATTCACCAGTCCATTCACTTACAGGAATGTTTCCTGGCAGTCACGATGAAATATGAAAATCCGATAAGATGATGATTCGAACCCAGAACTTGCCGAGACGTAGGCAAGAATCTACCTACTGCGTTACCGAGACTCGAGTATTTAGCTACTGAGTTACTGCGGCTTCAGTATTTAGCTACTGTGTTAATTCAGTTCCAGTATTTGGCTACTGCGGTAATGTGGCTCCAGTATTTAGCTATTGCGATAATGCGGATCCAGTATTTAGCTAGTGCTTTAATGCGGCTCCAGTATTTAGCTACTGCGTTAATGTGGCTCCAGTATTTAGCTACTGCGTTAATGTCGCTCCTGTATTTAGCTACTGCGATAATGCGGCCCCAGGATTTAGCTACTGCGTTAATTCGGTTTCAGTACTTAGCTACTGTGGTAATTCGGTTCCAGTATTTAGCCACTGCGTTAATTTGGTTCCATTATTTAGCTACTGTGTTGATGCGGCTCTAGTATTTAGCTACTGTTTTGATGCGGCTCTAGTATTTAGCTACTGCGTTGATGTGGCTCCAGTATTTAGCTTCAGCGATAATGCGGCCCCAGTATTTAGCTACTGTGTTAATGTGGCTCCAGTATTAAGCTACTGCGTTAATGTGGCTCCAGTATTTAGCTACTGTGATAATGCAGCTCCAGGATTTAGCTAGTGCGTTAATTCGGTTCCAGTACTTAGCTACTGCGTTAGTTCGGTTCCAGTATTTAGCTACTGCGTTAATTAGGTTCCATTATTTAGCTACTGTGTTGATGTGGCTCTAGTATTTAGCTACTGCGTTTATGTGGCTCTAGTATTTAGCTACTGTGTTAATGCGGATCTAGATTTTGCGTGTTCAATAAAAAATTTAAATAATACAGTTTTACATTCCAGATATCACAAACTGCAGCCAGCCGGATCTTCTGAAAGATGGTGAAATTCTTGGAAACGACTTTTCCGTTGGCGCCAAAATTAACTACATCTGCAATGTTGGCTTCAGTCTGATTGGCGCCCCTGAGCGGGTGTGTAGGGATATAGGCGAATGGTCGGGGCAGTCCCCGATTTGTTTAGGTAAGTTATTTGTGACATCGTTAATAAATTAACACTTTATTTAAGTCACACACATACATTAATTGAACGCATTTTTTTTTCGTAAGCAATGGTTGATTAGAGTAATATATGTCTGGACAAGAAGAGGTCCGAACAAGATCACTATGTGACAACAGGTGCTGAAGTACCAGCAGGGATAGAATAGGTTGAATTGAAGTTACAGTTGCATGAAAAACAAAACGCTCACTAACACACAGCATGCCAACAGACATATGGTCAGTTGCTTGCGATTGAAACAATTACAATTTCCTATATCAAAACTGTAAATCTTCGACAGTAGAGATCAAAGCCAAAATTCCCTTTTGAAAATTGGAACAAAGAAGACATAAACAACACACTCCACGATGTATTGCCTAGTATATTAACTGTATCTCGTCAGGTGCACGTATTTGTTCGAACTTAGTAAAGAAGCAACTACAAAAAAATTACTTGAAGCCTCTAAAAGGTTAGGAAATATTACGTTCAAAGTTACTCACGTAATAACCCCGACTGAATAAAAGAAGTTTAAATGCAATGACAGCAATGATTTTGTGTGTGTGGAAAAGTGGATAAAACAAATAGTGTTCAGTCAAGCATTTCACATACGAAATTACTAATAAACGAAATCTGACTTTTCTGGTACTTGTGATATATATTAATGTCGTGAGGTGAGCAGCCAACCCTACACAATGGACGAGTCGCGACTTTGATTTCCCTCGCGCTCAGTCAAATTTCAAACTTAAACCTGTCCGGAAGAGTATATAGTCCCTTATATTGATATATACCTTTATCTGATGATATATTCATTTCTAGACCCTCTAGTTGCTTTGATAAATCTTCCTTTTCAAACTTGCAGCTGTAGGTTGACGATTTCTGGTAATTTATTTAGAAATTCCTGTAAACCGGTTTACTCCTTGGGCAGGAATACAGGGGACTTCTTTTCTAGAGACGCTAAGTTTGATTTTGAAAAAAACATTCTTTCGCCTGATTCCAAAGTGTCAAGCCGTGTATACAGTCTATGTAGAAATTGGCGCATTCAAAGTTCCAGTTCTGTCTTGGAAGAATTCCTAAGCTTGGGATGATACCTCCTTAGAGATCAGGCAGACGAATCACAGTCCAGCCAACAACCACCAACCTATACCATTCTGTGCACCAAGCAGATCCAAAAGTCCTGTATACTGTGCCACTACCTCAACATGGCAAGAGCTTGTTTGTGAGTTCCAGGACCAGTGGACAGTTGCAGACGCCTATGTCATCAATCCACAGAACCAGTCTTCAAGAGCTTTGTTGGTCTCTTGTGCATTTATTGTGTCATTACCTGTGAGACCGGCAGCGGGCATCACAGTCTCCAAGAACTTTGTTGGGCTCCTAGGCAGTTCCTGTGTCCTCGCTCGTGACAGTCAGCTGGTACCAGATCAAATCAAGGCCCAACTACTGATTGAGTCAACTAAAGTTGAATCACCATGGACTGAGGGGAGCATTGACCTACGAACTGGGCTAAGTGATCTATTATTCACATTACATGCTTTCTTCCCACAGCTCCTTGTCGGTCCGATGATGAACTCATGTACTCCTCAAGACTACATCTGGCTGCTTCAATATCTGGGTTGTGTCATTGTTTCCTGAGCTCCATTCACTGACTCTTGTTTATCGATTCATTATTATATGGTATATATTGTACTGATTACATGCACACATTTTCATGACTGACTTGGGTGTCCCTATTTCACCATTCTAACTGTCTAGCTTTGATGTTTGTGTGAGTAATAAGTGTTATTTGTGTTAACATGGCTATGATAGTATATTATCATAACCTGGGAGCTACCTTTTTATAGTAGTGGGGGTGTCCAGCTAAGTGTGCCTAGGAATATTATATATTTTGTAGTGCCAAAGCTTGAGTTGCCCTACTCCTGAAATAAGTTGAGCGTATATTGGCCACGGGGCATCCCTTAGACCAATACGAGCCAACGACTCAACATAATTATTTCAGAGTGCTGTTGGTTCTTAAGGAAAAATCATTAAATCAGGCACGCGACAGGAGCGATATGTGACAATTAACAATTCGCCAACCCCTTGTGTGAAGCAGTTTTTCGGAATTGTGAAGCCTCACCCCAACTGTTACCGGAAGCCCTAAAATAGCCTAACGGTTGAACTGGGTTTCCGGTACCTCTACATGTGTGATCCTCATCTGCATGGTGCACTTTGTGTCACCTGGTGTTTATGGGTCAGTGTGATGTCCTAGTTGGATAAAACTTACTTACTGGCTGGCACTCAATGAGTTATCAGAATTTTATCGTTTCCAGGAGGTGGGCAACTATAAATTAGTACATAAATTAACAGATTATGTCGGAGATCACGTTATTACTTGATTTTGTGTGAGTGTGTACACACAGACATATATATATATATATATATATATATATATATATATATATATATATATATATATATATATATGTGTGTGTGTGTATGTGTAGGGTGTTCTATAAGTCCCTGCACAGTCAACAGTTTGTGTGTGTGTGTGTGTGTGTGTGTGTGTGTACACATATTTAATCCTTTGGTTCTATTCCCTTACAATGAGACCGGAGAATTCACACAAGGAACTTCTAGGAATTGAGCCATGCCTATTATCTTAAACTAACTAACTCATTCGTCACGGCGGTTCATTATTCAGTAGATAACTAGATCATGTTGACTGTCATCATCCCCAGCCTCCAACCAGGAAATCCCCTTGCACTACTGTAACTTCGACGGCGAGATGTCCCAGTTCTGTGGGTGGACTCAGGCTCGCGATGAAGAACTTGACTGGGATTTGCAGACGGGACCTACCCCTTCTGATGGAACAGGACCCAACTGGGACCACACCCTCAGCACAGTCTATGGTAGGCGACCGGATTTCTTCTGTGTTAACTAACCATGGGTCAATATAACCTTAAAGGTGTAACAGAAATTAAAACAGCTATGTCATTGTCTTCTCTTCTCCTTCTTTTGTCGTCTCACTTGTTTTATAACCTCTCAATATTATTGTTAAAGATGTCAAGTGTTTTTAGCAAATGATGTAGATGAACATAGCGACGTCATAATGACAGCTTAAAGATAACCGCTTAGTTTTAATATGCACCAAAGAGGGGTAGCTTTCTGTCATCATGTTTCTATTTTTTTTTTTACATTTTTTTTAATCAGTAAAGGGCTAAACATCTAAAAATTCACCGTCAAATGAAGATGCAGCATGGTTATGCAAAGTGGTGAGGCCAACAAGTGCGTGAGTGAAGTAGGACATTTCAAAACAGCGAGATTTCTATGTGCCTGACCTGAGGTAAACATTTCGTAACCGAAGTCACGCTTTTTTTTAAACTTCCTATTCCACTCAACAATATAAATGAATGAATCAAGAATGATATCACTGCACTAATATAGAGACCTATTGCGACCACGGTTTACAAAAAGATAACCCTTTTACAAAGTACGTTGTGGTCATTATTTTTGAAAATATTTTATTTGTTTACCCTTTACTGCGTAATTACCGCCTGTCAGTATCGTCTTAATGTTTCATACTCAGTTTGTCTCATATAGTGTTTCTTTTCATTGTACTTTGCGGCGTCGTAACACATTCTCTCTCTCTCTCTCTCTCTCTCTCTCTCTCTATATATATATATATATATATATATATATATATATATATATATATATATATATATCTCTCTCTCTTGGTCACGACTTGGTCTACAAACACATCATAGCATTTTGTCCAGTGTTACATCCTTTTGTTTCTTCAAACAGTGAAAGAATCCCATGCCGACTTGCTATGCCATTCGCAATTTAATGGCAGAAAATAGACTCACTGAGTTCATACACCTACGTGTGTCATGGCCCATGACTTTACGGGAATTGAATCCCTGTCTAAAAAAGAATGAAATATGTTGACTTGGGTCTTCTGCATGTCACTGGAGCTCTAATTAAGTATTAATTTTCCTTCCTTCGAGAAAGAATCTTGTGTATCTTAGCTCTGTTTTTTCGCAGAAGCCTAACTCAGTCCACATCTTGTATTGGAAAACACTAAGTATATCTAGGCTTTACAAATTTCCATTTACAATTAACATAAGATGTTGCAGCGAAAAGCTTTCACCGTTAAAAAAATGCTAACAACAAGATGGAAAAGAAGATGGGATCGATTACAATAAGACATTACGGTGGCTTTTGAACTGAAATGTTATAGAAAGATTCTCAGAGTACCATGGACAAAGAAGAGAAGAAATACTGCCATTTTAAAAGATGTGAACAAATAGGAAGACTGGCTAATAAACAGCATCCTGTCTCGGAAGCTGAACAATTTTGGTCATATCAAGCGCCATGGTGGATTAGAAAAAATAATAGCAGAAGGCATACTACCAGGGAGGAGGGGCAGGGGCCGACCAACACGAAGATGGACACAAGATAAAAGTGACTCCTTGAATTTAAAAGTACACGAGGCTGGAGAGCTGGCTAGAGACCGAGTTTCTTTCAGGCAGACCGTGAGAAGAGCGACGTTCTGCAATGGACCTGCTACATGGTAATGATAGACACTAAAAAAGCATGTCAACATTTGAAGCACCAGAAAAGCAAGCAGGATATAATGATGTACGCGGTATTTAACTCAGCAATCCACGATACATAAAGAATTAGCGTCCTTTCCTTCTATATATTGTGTTATTCTGGTTTGCTTCTTGGTGTTGACAAAAATGCCATCACAGTTATATATTATAATTTTAGTACCAGGTATGACTTATTTTGACTCTAATAAATATCCAGGTGCTATGGAAACGTTAGTATCCATATATATATATATATATATATATATATATATATATATATATATATATATATATATATATATATATATATATATATTTCGTAAGCATGCACAGCAGCAGTCTGCTAATCATCATTTGGTGGGTCCCCCTTTCAACAATTATTTCAGCACATTATCTTCCTAGACAAGCTCGAGGGGGGGGGGGGTGGACCTGCATGGGTCATGACTCCCAGGCCTCTGAATGCTGCTGCGCTTATCGGAAATTCGGATGTAATGGTGGTTTTGCAACAGGCACTGAACGTAAAATGTGCCTAGAAAAACCACAAAAGCCAACAAATGCTGGGTTTGATTCTTCAACGTCCTGTAAAGGATACGCTACTAACTTTTAAGTGAGGTTATATATCGTCGCCGCGGTA